TTGTCCCATTTGCAACTTGTTTACTTGGTTTTCAAATGATATTATTAAACTAAGATGGAGATTTCTATTTTTCTATGTCAAATATTTGAATTGTTTTTTTTTTTTTTATCTCAAAAACATTTTCATTTTAACTATGACTTTCCATTTTTTTTACTTCTTAAATTAATCACCGGCTTTTAGTTTCTATTTAAAATATTAAAATGTTCGTATTTGAGAATGACTTATGAAACTGATTAAATATATCAATGGGTCGTTGAAGGACAAAAGGCTTTTAGTTTCTATTTAAAATATTAAAATGTTCGTATTTGAGAATGACTTATGAAACTGATTAAATATATCAATGGGTCGTTGAAGGACAAAATTTTAATTTCATTTGATTATTTTTTGAGACATTGAAAAATACTTGTTAGTTTAAGGCGTTAAGTGTAGTTGACGATGTGATGGGACTAAATAACAAAAAGTGAAAGGTTGGTTGAAAGCTTGAAAAATAGTTTTGGTCTAGCAAGGAGAAAGGGTATTTCTTTATCTAACCAAAGTTGGCCTTTAATTACAAGCCTTTGTCCCCACGGGCGGATACAGCATTAGATGAGGTTGGCCCTCAAATTTTTTTTTTTTTAAATTCTAATAGGTATAATTTTTGAATTTTAGTCCACCATAAAAAAAATATTAATGGATAAAAATGTTAACGTATAATTAGACTTTCATCAAACAAGTTAAGGGCTTAGTTGATCGGTAAATAATATGGTGTACTCGTAAAAAATTACAGAGTTAGATGAAGATTTTAGTTTTAAACTCACGTTTGCGAAAGTTAAGAGGATTTCTTGATTATTAGGAAGAAAAAAGAGGTTAGTAGAAACATCGATCCATTGAATCTTGAATGTTAAATGTCAATATATGAGCATTTTTTACGCTAAAACATTGTCTTAAATAAATGAAATATAATGTAAGAAATAATATTTTTGGTATGAATAAGCCATTAACTTTGTTTAAAACATTTTCATTACCCTCAAGCTGAATTTGTTAAAATCAAATCTATATTTAGTAATTATAAATTTATAATGTTTACAATCCAATTTAAAAATAAAATAAGTAAAGTTTAAGGTATTTTAAATTAGAGTTTTCCTAAAATATAATACTAATGATAGATATTAAACCTAAAAAAAATTTGATTGAAAATTAGTGATATCTGATAAAAAAAAAAAAAAAAATACTGGTGGATAAGATAAGGATGGGCAATATCAATAGGATACATTAGTAATTAATTTATTAACTGGCCGCGTGAAACTGTATGGCCCACACGGTTTGTTTGGTTATCACCTGTACATGTGTCAGTATCATGGTATCCACTTTGAATATGAGGAGATGATCCCAAATCATGTCGGCATCGTTGATTTCGTTACGTGTCGTTTTGGAATAGGAAGAATCTCCAAATCCAATATCCAAATTCCAAATTCCTATAATTGACCTATCAAAATTACTAGTGCGCCCTTTCCCTTTCATGGTTACGTATACAAGAAGGATGTCCAATAATCTTTACCTTAGATTTAGCGATATCAAACAAACTATCCTTACTATTGATATTGTAAATTTGTAATCTAATATCATGAAGAATAATTTTGATAATATCTAAATGATTTAGTCATAACAGTGTAAATTAAATAACTCAAAACTTTGATTAAATAATAAAATATTCTTCTAAGGTTCTAAAAAAAAAAAAAAAATTATTATTGTTTAATTTTAGATGTTAAAACAAATTACAGTAAAACAATTAGCTGATAAATTAAGTAAACAAAGTCACGAATACATTATAAAGTGTCATAATTTATAACGTGAAAGTGAAGCCAACTTTTAATAAAATAAAATAAATCTGATTTTTTAGCATTTTGATGTAAGATGGGGTATAATAATTTAAATTGGTAATTCAAATCTTAGATTATATTTAATCAAAATTTAATTACTTTCATGTGAGTCCACATGGCATCAGGGCAGATGGAATGATGCAAGGATCAGTACTTTTGGACAGTCATGCTTTAATTATTTTAAAATGTCTTTTAAAATACCAAAAAAATAAAGAAAAGAAATTATCCTACAATACACAGTAAGTAATATGTTTTATATTCTAAAATCTAAATACCCAAATACGAAAAAAGGAAAGGACGGTATTAAATTGACATTATAGTATATGATATTTGGGCAAGGTCTAAGCTGTAATGGGAGTACTATCATATTTAATAACATAAGATCTGTGGGCAACAAAATGCTCCCAAGGTCCCATCTTACTTTTAATGTTTCTGCTGCCCAAGTTGCTGAGTATGACCGTATATGATGTATCTTTTGAAACAAATCTTTTCCTCTTATAGAAAATACTAAACAACTATATACTCATTTATAACAAGAGTAAACGACTTTTCCCCGGCCAAGATTTGCCTTAACAACACTTTCCACCCAAAAAGTTTCAAAATACTATTTTCTCACCTAAAGTTCAAATTTTGTTACTACCCAAAACCAATTCTGACGGCAAAAATTTTCTCCGTCACGACCATTTAAATTTTCAGTCTCCTCTCTACAAAACCCCTCTCACTCTAGCACCTGATTTCTCATCGATTGACGATCATCGTAAAGCTAGGGTTTCATGTTTTTAGCTGATTTTTGGTTGATTTCGATGACAAATATTCAATCAATCACCACCATTCGATCCACCAATCTGCACTCTACAAAACGCCTCTTACCCTTGTTCCTGGTAACTCACCAAACGTCGACTGAGAAAATGAAGTGTATTTTGAGTATTAACGAAATATAAACTTTGGATGAGAAAGTGGTATGTTGAAACTGTTTGGACGTAAAAGTGTGGTTAAGACAAACCTTAAGTGAGAAAAGTTGTTTACTCTTTATAATTATAATTTGAAAAAATAATTTTTTTTTTTTTTTTAAATATATAGTTGGATGTGGTCAAGTTAGTCCGACACCCGAAACAAACTGCAATCTTTGTGATCGTGTAATCAGAAATGGTCAACCTAATTTTTAATTTTCTCCTTAAAGATTAGGACCTACCCACGAAAAGAACGTCAACAAAATTACAGGATACTTAATTTTGTAAAGATGCTATCAGTATTGAATATGCCGACTTGGTAATAGTAATTTGATGTTTCATTTCATGTACTTTTTAGGCCAATTGGCATTTACCTTGTACAAGGAAAGAGCTTTCCATAGTAGCGTATTTATTACTTTACTGTTTTTAAAATGTACTATTTAAGGTATGTAATTTCAAAAGATTGATTAAGTTACCAACCCAGCGAGGCTACCAACCCTTTGGTAATGCACACTTTCTCGTTCCAAATATGATTAGTGGCCATTAATGAAGGAGTAAACGATTGTTTCCACCCTGGGTTTGGCCTACATACACTTTCTCATCCAAAAAGTTTCAAAAAGATGCTATACCACCCTGCCACGGTTAACTTTAACTGAAGAATGATATAATGATAAATTCAAAGAACAGTTAAAAAGTAATTACGTCATTTTACCCCTTATATATAAACTTAAGAAAAATTAAATCCTAAATCAAACCCTATATATAATCGGATTGGCTGAATCGCACTAGGCCGATTGCAATTCCAGCCAATTATTGAGCCTAGGGCCAAAATGGGTTGAAGAAAGTGTAATAACTCATGATGGTGGTGGGAAGATGGCCAATGGGTGCATGGTGGAGGTGGGGTGCAGTTTGGTTGAGGTGATGGGGATACGATGAGGTAGGGTGATATGGAGGTGATGTGCAGTGGTGGTTGTGGGATAGGGTTGGGTATAGGCAGCGAGTGGATTGCTGTGAAGTGGGCTATGGGTGTTGGAAGCTATTTGCTTTGTGTGGTTGATGTGATGATGGTTTAAGGGTGGGTTGTGGTGTGAGTGCGATGGAGATGGGTTGGGATCGGGTGTGGCCAATGGATGCATGGTGGAGGTAGGGTGTAGGTTGGGTAACAACAGTGTTGCGGAAGAGGTAGAGATCGTTGAGATAGTCAGAGATTTTGTGTGTTGATTTGTGTGAGAAGATTGATGGTGGGATGATAATGGAGGCATAGTTGGGATTGGTTGGGATCAAAGTGTGGTGGTAGTGGGATGGTGGCTGATGGGTGCATGGTAGAGGTGGGATGCGGTTTGGTTAAGGTGATGAGGTTTGGGTTTGGGTTTCGGTATAGATTTGGATTCAAATAGTAAAATGTATTTTCATATTTACACTGATTATACCATGTTAGTTAACAGGTTTTACTAACGGATCTTAGCTGTGGATGGAAAAGTGTCGTTTTGAAACTTTTCGAATAAGAAAGTGTCTTTAGGCCAAACATTGGGTGGGAAAATTTGTTTACTCTTAATCAAGACAACTAATTACCGTAATATCATTAGCTCTAAGAAGACGGTGGTTGTTAAATGTTAATAATAGTTTAACGGTTTTAATCCTACGGTTCACCTGCCATATGCTTCAAAATATTAAAAGACTTCATCACTAACCTCATCCATCTACTCATGCACCTACTTATCCATTACACTATTTTTGATTATCTCTACCCTCCCCTAAACTTTCAGGCTTGGTACGAAACACCCTTTACGAACTAAAATATTGGAGGAAAAAATGTGACGTTACATGTTGATCCTTCTATGCATGTTCAAAATATTAAATTCATGCCATTTGTCCCTCATAAATTTCCATGTGACAACGAAGAAAACGTAATGTATTTGGTGACGATTTTTGGTTAGTAGTACTATTGGGGGATCATCCACATTTGATGTGCCGACAATAAATGAATAGGGATAAAAAAGACAAAAAATTATAAACAATATCTTCTTTTCTTTTATCCTGAACTCATCCAGTTACTGGGCTTTAAACAGTTAAGTGTTAACTAATTCTGCGCGCGGGGCCTGGGGGTGTTAGAGATAAATCTGAAACCTCATGGACCGCTTAATCATTGTGAATTATCAAAGCTAAATAATAATAGCCAGTTAGCCACCACCTTTTAATTTTTGTAACAGTCGGTTGTTTTTAGCATTTCAAATCATCTCCTTCTTCACGCTTCCTCCCTCTCTCTCTCTCTCTGTGAATCACCGCGGCCACCACACGGCCTGGACGCTTCATCTCCCCGTCCTCCTTTAACGCTCACTGACTCAAAATTACATATAAGTTAATGTCATAACAATTTCTCTCTCACTCACTGACTCAAACAATCCACCATGGATCACAAGCTTAAACTATTGCTTTTCTTCGTCTCACTATCTCTTCTCTCCATCACCGCCGTTCATTCACGATCCGTTCCCAATTCTACGACCTCTGATCTACTCTCAGATGGGTTTAACCCTCACAGCGACCCCCAGTACCTCTTTCTTAATCCTCTGTCTTCGTCACTCAAGGCAGAGTCCACGTGTGAGCAGACATACGGCTTCATGCCTTGCACCACGACTATATGGGGGAACTTGTTTTTGATCCTCGCTTATGGGTACCTCATGTTCATTGCCGCCACGTATTTGTCTAATGGGAGTGAGATGTTGTTGGAGATTCTTGGCCCCGGTGTTATTGGAGGCCTCTTTCTTCCTATCCTCGGCGCGCTTCCCGACGCAATGCTTATTCTTGGTAAGGACTTTGTTTTGTTACTGAGAAAGTATGGGGAAAATGGTGTTTTTGATTTGGGATTGCGATTTGGGTATTAGATTCATGAAATGGTGTGCTTTGTTTTTGTTTTAGCTTATAGTGGACGAAATGAAACTTGATTGTGATCGGTGTTTATGATTGAGCGGAGGAGGATAGATTTTGAAGTTTAGAGATTTGTCTTTGTTTTCTTTCTGATAAAAATGGAGATCCGTGACTATTATTATATGTTTAATTTTTGTTCCTTTATTTTGTTTCTAAGAAAGATGAGGAAAAAGAACTAAAGGAAATATTGAATTTGACGTTGTAATGGTCTGTTTGATTTTTGAGAAACGTAAAAACTATCACAAGTCATAGCAATCGCACATTGATTCTACTCTTTTTTTTTTTTTTTTTTTTCCCTGTTTTTTGTAAATAATGAAAATGATTTTTACTCCTTTGAACTTTAGGTTGAGATATGGCTTTGCATCTTTGAGCTTTATTTTTTTAATTCCTTCAATATTAATCTTTGCATCTTTTTGTCTCCAACTTTTGTCTCAGATGTATTATGGGTACCCTTTTAAAGTATTTGCCATTGATTGGTCTTGATAGATGCTTTCTCTAAATTGAATAATCATGGGTTATCTTGTAATAAAAAAATTTATAATGTTTATACTGAAAATTTTAGTAGTTGAATTATTTTATGCTATTGATGTGGATAGATGTGTATAGTACATACTTTACTTCATTGTGAAGCAACTCTTTTAAGGCAATCTTAAAATGAATCTTATCAAAAATTACATTTCTTACCTTTTGGTTAATGTTGTGATTGCATCTCTGATTAATGATCTTCTTTTTTACAGTGTCTGGACTTTCTGGAACTAAGGAAACTGCTCAAAGTCAGGTCTCAGTGGGAATGGGATTGCTAGCTGGATCAACTGTCATGCTTATTACTGTAATATGGGGATCCTGTGTTCTCGTTGGCAAGTGTGACATTCAGGGTTCAGTTGCTAAAGATGGTCAAAATACGAAAGGATTTAGCTTAACTGGTATGTAACTCTACTCAGTATCATTATTTACTAGTCTTCTCACATGGATTGAAGAACTTTTAGTTTGCCAAGGCAGTAGAATCTTTGAATTTTTTTTCCTCATTTGTGAAAATTTTATCTCAAAATTTGGACAACTCTAAATGGATATATTAAAGTCTTAGAAACCCTTTATGTTATGGAAGCTATGAGCCAGCAGTAGCTGCAGAGTGGAAGAGAAGGATGGAGGGGAAATAGAGTTGAAATTTAAGACTTAAACCAGTGTGTTATAGTTGTTTATGAGAGCTTGGGAAGCTGCTGATGGACTTGTACCTAGAAAACATAAATGATTTTGGAATTTGAATGGTATCTATATAGGAAAAGCCATATCTATTTTTAACAGAGAGGTGGGTAAATGTGAATTTGAATTTAATAATAATTTCTTAAACTTAATCCAATCTTCATGAGGGAGAGGGATCCTAGATACATGCATCTTGGACTAATACATTACACTTATTATATATTCTTGTAAATTTGATTGTAAGCAATAAGAAAGTGATAGTTATTTTTACTAGGAAAGAGACAAGGTCCAGATAAATGTAGAAACCTCTTACTGTATATAGCTTCAGAGAGTTGGGGCTGGAGAAGTTGAGGGCTGGTAATGGTGGTCATGGTGCTTCTGGTAGGTTAGTTTCAATTTTCATGGGAAATCATACTTGATGTAACTAACTAACTATGCCTGCTGCTTTATTTTGAGTGTGGAAATCTTTTATTAAATTCCATTGACAATTTTCTAATAAAAAATAAAAATTCTCTATGATTGCAGAAACTGGTGTTAGTACTGATATTTGGACTTGCTATGCTGCAAGGATAATGGCTATATCTATCATCCCATTTCTTGTTGTTCAAATACCACAGCTTCTCAATTCAACTTCAGGAAGACACTTAGCAGTCTTGATTGCGCTAATTGTATCTGTATTGATGTTGATTGCTTACTGCCTTTATCAGGTAACCATTTCTTTTAAGCAACAATTGTAGCATCCTGCAACTCTGTGATACTTGCAGCAATTCCATGACTCCATCTTAACTAAGCAGTGATGAAATTGAGGCACACCAATCTTTTTGTCTACATACTGAAAATTCTGTGATGAAAATATATTTAGTTTTTGTAATAAACTGTTAGAAAGATAAAATTCAACAAGTGAATAATATCTTAGAAGGCCATATAAGTAAAACTTTTTTCCATGGTATAAAGAAAAATCTTGGGAACTGAACGGTTGCTTGCTTGATTTGGTGGAAGGTTGAATTTGGTTTGGACTTTTAATATGAGGGACATGAACTAAATGTTAATGGCCCATTATGTATACTCTTGAAAGATGCTGCAACATTGTTTAAAGATTTGGTTAGTTGCCTACTGTTTATGTAAGTTGCAGGCATTTGTAACTGCCACTATGTCATGATAAAAATATTATTAATAATATAGTCACCTATTATTCTTGATTTGGACAAATGAGTTCTGAAGGCATCAACATGTTGATATTTTTTTCTTTCATTGCCTTATCAATAGGTGTTCCTTTTTAAACCCTATTTAGCAGCATTGTTTATGAAGTTAGTGTTAAATGCTAATGTTTTGAATGCTATATTGAGAAAGAAAGATTATTGGTTTGATATCTTCTATATATTTAGCTAGTAAGATCTTTCCTCTTTCTTTAAACTTTTTTCTGTTTTACTCGTTACAGTTTTTAGGAAACTTTGTATGTATACAGCAATGTTTGACTTCCCTTTCATTCATGTCATGTAGGTCTTTCAGCCTTGGATTCAGAGGCGTCGGCTTGCTTATGCAAAGCACAAGCATGTGATATCAGGATTTTTGAAACATCTGAGAAAGCATGCTTTGGGAAGGCTCCTGAATGATAGAGGAGAACCTGACAAAGATGTTATAAAAAAGTCGGTTATTATTTATTCAAACTGTGCCCCTCACCCATTCCCCCTTCTCCCCTCAAATTAGAATAAGATCATGGTTTTTCAATTAATAAATTCCTCCCACTCATAAGATATTCTTATTAGCACTGACTTCTTATGACAGATTGTTTGACTGGATTGATGAGAATAAAGATGGAGAACTTTCACGCGGTGAATTAAAAGCACTGATCATAGGAATTAAGTTTGATGAGATAAACTTGGATAAGGATGATGCTGCAGACAAATTACTGGAAGATTTTGATTCTTCTCATGATAATCAAATTAATTTTGATGAGTTCTATCAAGGTATATCAAAATGGCTCAATGAAGTAAATCGAGGAAAGAGATCTGGTGATCCTGGTTCTCGGACAGAAAAACTTCTAGGTGACTTTCATGAGGTAAGTTGCACAATGATGACTCACATCTTTATCTAGGATTGCTTATTGCTATGAGATTGTGACATCTTGCAAATAATGAGCAGCAAACAAAGAGGGAGCATGATTTGTTGGGAGCTGACGAACAAAGTGACGAGGTTGTTGAGGCTGTTGAAAACCCCAAGTGGACCTCCATTAAAGCAGCGCTGATGCTTTTGGTTGGAACCATTATTGCTGCTGCATTTGCTGACCCTCTAGTAGATGCCGTTGATAACTTTTCAGATGCAACAAGTATACCTACATTCTTCATCTCGTTTATTGCATTGCCTTTGGCAACCAACTCAAGTGAATCAGTGTCAGCAATCATTTTTGCCAGTCGTAAGAAGACCAGAACTGCCTCATTAACATTTTCCGAGGTTTGTTTCTCGTTTCTCTCAATTTCCACATGCCATTTCTGTACATACTTGTTAATTAGACATAAAGCAATACCCCTTCAGCAATTGCAAGAGCTTCAGCCCTTAGATGATTTAACTTGTTCATGTAGAAATTAGCTTTGTATTTTTCTCATTTCTGAGTTTTTACTGTGCAGTTATATGGAGCAGTGACAATGAATAACGTCCTTTGCCTATCAGTTTTCTTAGCTCTTGTCTATGTCAGAGGATTGACATGGGATTTCTCAGCCGAAGTGCTGGTTATTCTTATTGTTTGCGTTGTGATGGGCGCTTTTGGTAGTTTCCGCACAACCTTCCCTCTCTGGACTTGCTCAATTGCATACCTCCTTTACCCCTTCTCCTTGGCACTGGTTTATGTCCTAGATTATGTTTTGGGCTGGTCATAGTTCATGACGTTCATAAACTGTAGTTCTCCCCTTTTGTACTTCTTCAGATTGGGGTTTGTTTGATGTCTAATGAGACCTCAGGATTATTATTAGTCGGATTATTGGGGTTTTGATATTCCTTTTTGAGCTACTTTATGATCATGAACTTCCTCTGGAAATCGTGTTTCGAAACACAAAGTAGATTTCAGAAGTCATGTTAAAATAATGGTTAATTATATCACTCATCTTTATATATGATAATTGATAGAACAAAGGATTGAGTGTCTTAACCTAAAATGACTTGAAATTTACTTGAGAACTTTATCTCTAACTTAATTTGTTCATCTATACCACAAATATGAACTAAATGATAAACCCTTTCGAAATTTATATTAAAATCTCAAATTGAGTTCTAAGAGAGATGAGATTTGCAGTTTTGCACTCTCAAGTTGCGTTTTGTTGAAGACCTCTTGTTATGATATTGCATTGATAACTAGGGATTTGGTTTAAAGGTGAAAATAACACAAAAATTGCATGATTTCATAGTCATTCAACAGGAGTTCTGTGACCCAAACAAACATTTTTTTTTTTTTTTTTTTTTAATGAGAAACTCTCTCTTATCTTCTCTTATTCAATGTGGGGCATAACCATAGTGAAGGGTCAGATTTAGAGACCCCACCAAAACAAAGAGAAGACAAAAGCATAATTAAACATCTTTACAAGTTTGTTACCAATCAAGTGCCTGCCTCACTGACTCATTCACCAACCAAAACCAACACCAAAAATAATAACATACCTACTTTGCATAACCAACCAAACTTTGCTTTCATCAAATTTCAACATCAAAACAAACCAATCTAATCTCACTATCTTTCTCTTCTCTCTGCCCTCACATGGCCAAGATTTGGTTTTTCCCTTTCACACTCAAGCTTGCATAAGCAAATTTATAAAATTCCCCACTTGTTAAATCGTTTTAGAGAAAAAGGAAAATAAGTCTTGCTTTGTATGGTCTCATACAGATAAACAAGTGGCCTACCAAAGAAAATGGGTACAAGTTATAAACATTTATAACTTCAAATTTAGATCAACACTTTCACCTACTTCACCATTGTTACAATTATTCACTCTGCCTGTGGCTTGGTCTGTTTGTGCCACTGCTTGTGGAAAGAAGCTATAGTAAGGTTGCTGGTGACTTGGACCGCCGGGTTCCGGCCGAGGAATTGGTTCTTCAACATTTACCTTTTCACAAATGATATAAAGAAATAAGAAAAGATGTGACATTAATAAAATGTAAATGGGTTATCGGTTTTAAATTAGACTCACTTGATAAGGTAGAGATTCAAAATCCGGGAATTTGGTGCCATGGAAGACTAGATAAGGTTGAGGGTGCCTTAATTTTGAACCTTGAGACATTGCATTTACTGTGGGAGGAGCTAATGTGAGAAAACCTCCATTTTCTTTGATGCTTTTCTTTGAATTATTGGGCTCCAACATGAAAGTTGAGCATGAAGAGCCTTCTCTGGCAAGTTTGGAAACAACAACTACATAAGTAATCAACATTTATTACCACAAAAACATAAGGGACCACTATAGAAACATAGACAAGCTAACCTGTAAAGTGTGCCAACAGGTTCGAAATTGAGTGTGTGACCACTGCCACATGCAGCTGAGTCATCCGATCTGCTGATTCTGGGATGAACAATTGGAGGAAATTTGCAGTGGAAAGATGAAATGCCAGGTGGATTGTCTAGAGGAAAGGGATATGACCTCTTCATGCCAACCATCTATACTAAAATTTAACCAAATTAAAACAATCTACAGATTAGATGTCTCAATCTAAGAAGAATAAACATAAATTTCAGGCTAAAGTTTATAGAACTCATTACAAAAATTTCAGGTTACTCAGGTACAAGAAGTAATTTATTTAGAAACAAGGTGGAAGCAAAAATCTGAACAAACCTTTTCCTCCTCTGGCCACATAGGTATATAATTGCCATAATAGCTTTGGTTTGAAGGGGGCTCCATCTGAAATTTTAGTACAGATGATGACGAAGTTGCTGATGATTCATTCACCTATACAAGTTCCATGTATCAAGAAAACAACAACACATAACAAAAATTCAGAACAAACTCAGTAAAGATCGACTTAAAAATAAAGAAAATTATGTAGATGGGATACCATTGAAGAAGGATGATGCTGGAATTGAGGTGCTCTTTGCATCAAACTAGAGAGAGGCAACATGGGGATTGATTCATGAGAGAAATGATTCAAATTCGAGCAAAAGGCCGAACGGGGATCCACCCCAGAACTCTCCTTTTCGAGGTTATACTCACAAGAACTCCACAATTTGTGAGCATTTTCACGGCCTTGAAGTGAAACAGTTGACCACCCTACAGGGTTTGTCAATGGAACAGTGTTGGGATTCAAAGTTTTAATATTTTGGAGTGATGAAGAAGAAGGCCTAAACACCAAATTTGGAGATGAAATAGCAGCTGGAGATGGAATTGCAGAAGGTGAAGAAGATAGATTTGAAGGATGAAAATTTGGAGTTGTAAGTGAGAGAGATGAGGAATTGGTTGGTGAAATTGTAGTAGATGATGAAGCAATAGCTGCATCTTTCTTTTGTTGTTCAATTCTAATTCTTTCAAGTTGAGCCACACCAAGTCCTCTTTGTGGGACTTTTTTAGGCTTTTGTTTCTTGGAAGATCTAACAAAATTGCCGCCGCCGCCGCCGCCGCCACAAGTACCACTGCTACTATTGCTACACTTTTGATCTTCCTGAGCCATTTTTATTCTCGTCCATCTAATAATTATTTACACAGTAGCTATAAAAAACCTTTGAAGTCAGTCTGAATATAAAAGATTCAATTTTGATCAAAACTCAAATCTTTTTCTCATGCATCCCACTACACCTTTGTTTCTGCTCTTCCAAAGTTTTGATCTTCACTCTACCATAGCTACACATATCATTTCTCACATTTTTGTTTCAGAAACATAATTTTTGAACAAAAAAAAAAATTTATTAAAAAGAGATATCATAATCTGAAATAAAAAAAAAAAACCTGAAGATTTGTAAGACCAAAATCTAGAGGAATATCAAGAAGGCAAGATAAAAAAAGATTACCAAAAATCTCGGCAAACCCACGAAGCTAGGCAAGTTTTCAGCAGAAAAAAGATTGAAGAGAGAGAGAATCTGAGAAATTTCAGATTTTTCTCCAAACCCAGCTGCTGTTTTGTTTGTCTGAGAGACAGATCAGATGAAAATCTAGATATGTCATGTAAATTTAAAAGGAAAAACAAAAGGGTATGAAATTTCAAAAGCATGCAAATCTATTGAAAACAATAAATCTCTCAGGTTTGTCGCCCAAATCCTCGCTCCAATCGAATTTGTAAAACTAGACCGACTCTCATGAATGATGGATGAAGAGTTGTTATGTAATATTGAGTTTACAAGTTCCAAAAGTAGGTAAGGGCCAAAGTTTTTAAGTGCCATTGTCACTTGTCAGCTTAGCTTATTTCTTCCACTTCGAGGAATCTCCCTTGCTGTCTTCCTACCTTTTCTGCCCTTTCACGAGTCGCCCTCCCCCATCCATATTTCACCACCTCATTTTTCTCTATTTTTATTTCTTTACTTTTAATTTTAATTTTTAATCATTTTAGTGGGTGGGTGTTTATTGTCTTTGAAAACAATAATAATAATACCCTTCCCAAAATTTGTCTCAAGTTTTACATCCTATCTCAGGTCACATGTAAATAAAATGAGGGAGAACGACATTTTCCCACCCAAGGTTTGGCAAAACAACCTTTCTCACCCATCAAGTTTTAAAATGACACTTTCTTATCCTTCGTTAGGTTTTATTATGTTTTCCGTTAATATTTTACTAAAAAAACGAAAATACTCTTAAATATTTTACTTTAAAAAAAATTTATTATTTTTTTATTAGCCAAAAAGTCAAATATTAAAAATTCAAAAAAGACAAAATAGTTAATCCCACCTAAAAAGTTAAGAATAATGTTATAAAATTATTTAAAATTAAATAATTTTAATATTTATTTATAATGTCATCAATATCATATCACTATTATTTATAATGTTTTTTCATTTTTACTAATGAACAAAAAAAAAATCAATATTCCTAATTAATTAAATAAACAAAGAAAAAAATGTTTCGTTATACTTGGACTAATAAATAATCGAATAAAAACTTTGAATTAACTAAATTTTAATTTATAATCAATTAATTAAGAAATAAAATATTTAAGGGTATTTTCATCTTTTCAATCAAATATTAACAGAAAACACTTACAGAACCTAACAAACGGGTGAGAAAGTATCATTTTGAAACTTGACGGGTGGAAAAGTGTCCTTTCATCAAACCTTGGGTGGAAAAATGTCATTCTCCCATAAAATGATAATATATTAAAATTATATGACAGTTTTACATATAGTGATATATCATTTGGAGTGTGAAATTTGGAAAATACTTTGGAATGAATAGTATTACTCTTTTAAAAATCTTTGTAACAAGTGAGATTTTATATTCAATGAATGTTTGCTTTCTTTATTAATTTATTGGGTTCAAACCATTTTGGGGTCATCTACCACAAACATTAGGCTTGTAAAGTGTTCAATAGACTCTGTGAATTAGTTGAAATACACGCAAGCTGGTCCAAACACCTCCGTCACTAAAAAAAAAAAAAAAAAAGAGAGAGAAAGTGAATGTATTAATCTAGACTAGAGTGTACGGAAATTAGAACTTAGAAGAAATTAAGGACATGAATTATATTTGTTTTAAGTTCATCACCACAAATTTACCACCATATATGATTATAACAATATATGAACTAAAGGGTTAATTTAATACGGTGTTTCCTCTCAAATGTTGTTAAGAATTTTATTTAAATACCAATTGTCAAGGTATATATATATATATAGGGGTTTCTTTTAAAATTTTAAAGGTTTTTAAATATTTCAAGTGAATAATTTATAATTTTAAAAAAATCAGTGAGACGCATTAATTTAGTATTTTCATTGATTGAAATTAACCTTAAACTAGAGGGTATATTGACATGAATTATATTTTTATTTTAACCTAACGTTTAATCTGATAAATATGAGAATATATGTTATTAGTACTAGTTAATAAGACATTAAATTTACCAATTAATTTTCGGGTTTTATGGCATCGCTTAATATAAGGATACCCATAACCCAATCTTTTTGAAAATTATCAAAAACCCTCCCTATAATTAATAAATACGCCCTTATCTCAAAAAAGTCTAGATGTGCTTAAGACTAAACAATTCTGCAATGGGGGTGGGGTGTAAGAAATAAACCCTATAATTAATTATCCATGGTGATTTGGGTGACACGACCATGAGTCCATGACCATAAGTTGATAACAAAAGATAAGTTATAAGATAATATTATGGGCTATTGGTCAAATATGGCAGCTAAAGAAGGCTGAAAAAAAAAAAAAAAAATTGATAATAGGATTATTATTTAATAATAACTGATAATTTATATTCACAACATGAAGTAATTAGAGTAATATTAGATGTACAAACAAATCTTATAAATATTTATATACAAAACGGTTTGACCTCTTTCTATGTGGTCGGATGACAAATTCTTCCGCCATGAGGGTTAACTATACTCAAGGGGTCTCTTGCTTAAGTTGCAGGAGAGGTACTTACCATATTTGTGGAATTATCTTGGTCCATTGGACTCATAGAGTGTTCTATAACATTAAGAATTAGACAAACTTTAATATGGACTTAGATAACTCATATACTTAAAAAAAAAAAAAAGTGATAGAAAATAAATGAAATAGTGAATATGATGAGTTTGACTTTTTGTATTCACTTTTTTATTTATTTTGTATCATATCAGTTTGTATATAAATCTTTGTAAGATTTGTTAATACGTTAACATTATTGGAGTAGTAATAAGGCAATTGGCCAATAAGGAAAATTTAGATTAAATGAAGAAAAAGGCAAAGGAAAGTAAATAAATAATAAAGAAGTTGAGATGTGAATAGAGATTGCAATCAAACAAAGAGAAATCCTATCACTACCTTTACTAAATTGGACCACCTTACCCACCACAACAAAACTATCTTTTTGACTTGTCAAACAATTTTTGTCTTCAATAAACCCACTCTCATTTGGCCCATTGTGGAGCTCTATCAGAGTTTACACCTCCACATAATATCCCAACACTTTTGTTAGATATGCAAAATATAAGGACACCCATCTTCTTCTCCTTTTCAGCAAGATTCTATTTCAATCAATGATACACACTCATAAAATATAATTATAATAAAAAAAAATATTATTTATGTTCTCCTTCCATATTTTTATTTAAAAGCTTTATATACATAGTTATAAAAAATTAAAAATATCAATCAGTATTAACAATCAAGTAATCAATTCTAAATCTCATCCTGACAGAAGAAAAATCAGGTTTTATTATTAATTCTTATTGATTTCAATTTACTTTTAATTTTGATAAGTGCAAATATAACTTTGAAACTCCAAGGGGTTGGTTGGATAGTTAAGGAGATTTGCTCATTTCTTTGAGTTTTTAGGTTCAAATCTTCAAGCTACCTATCACAATAACATTATGACTTATTTAACCATTTTGGTCTGTAGGGTGTTCAATGGACCTCGAGGATTAATTGAGGTTCTAGCAAACTGACCCAAACACCTTGGTTACTCAAAAAGAAAAAGAAAAAAATTTAGAACATTGAAATAAAAGCATAGAAGAAGAAGAATATTTTTTTGTTTAATCATATATTTCCATTAGGCCCATCAACTTTAATGTCATCTTCACAAGCTTGGGCTAGAGATAACATCAACAAAAATCTCTTACAGCTCAACAATTAAACAACACATAAAACGGGTGAGACCAAGCCGAAACAAAAAAAAAAAAAAAAACATCTTCATGTCAGTTTATAGCAATGTTTTGAAAACCGGACCGGATTATGACCCGTTCAAGGGTTCGATTTCTGGTTGGATCGGTCGGTTGGACCGTATTCTATAAAATTGTTTTAGTCCCTAAATGTTTGATATTCATCAAAACACCCCTATAATACTCCCTTAAGGTTTGAAATCTGTCCAAAACACCCTTGTCACGGGAAGAGACTGGTGACTGGTGGCGGCAGCGACGATTGACGGCCAATCGAAGTTTGGAATCATGGGGCTTTTGATGTATAGGTGCCAGCGAATCTGATGGTGGTGTTAGGGAGTTCCATCGGCGATGGAACTTGCCGGAATCAAGAAAGAGGTCCGACGGTCGCGTGAACTATAGGTGGACGGCGAGTGAAGAAGGCTGGACGACAACCACTGAAAATGGATGGGTTTTGTCATGGAGATGCCATCGAGTCTAATGGTGGTGTTTTCTCCCTTGAACGATGCTGGAATCCAGCAGGATTGGACAGCGAATCGACACTATTCTGGCGGTCCAATTGCGGCTCAATCCGGTTTGATTGAAAATACCAGTTTTCAGAGGATACCGGACCGGAGATGTCGTCGGCTCTCGGTCGAACCGGTCTGATTTTCAGAACAATGGTTTATAGCACCTAACAGTCAAGTCAACACATACACACCATTGTACCTAAATTGTAACAAAAATTTAATTTGAATTTCCTATCATAAGGAAAGAGAAACTCCACCTCTCATACAATAATGCTACATAGGAAAGGTACCCAATACTAAATGAGTGATTTAGATGTGCTACTTTTAATGAATCTTGCAAGCTAAGTTAAAACCCATAATTTAATTTAAGTCAGGTATTTTGGCCGTAATATATAATATTGAATAATTAGATGTATAAACCCTTACATATAAATTGATTTATTATAAAAGTTAAATGGAAGAATGTATATAAAAAGTTAATTTATTAAATGCTTAATATATATAAATGATAACGTGCGAATGAAAAAATAATGACACATTAGTTTGTATATAATATCAGTTATGTAACACTATATTTCTTAGACGAAGCACTTTACTTGGATAATTTACTTCTTATTATACCATCAAT